ACTAGAACCTCCTGAGGTCCCTTCCAGCCCTGATAGTCTATGATTCTCCCTGTGCCAGGGATTGGGAAACAGAGCTGGTTTACAGCCCTTTCACTAATTACACACCAGCCAGGGAGGCTCCCCGTTGAAGGCAGATTCTCAGGGGGCTGCTTACATCTTTAAAGCACCTTTATAGTATCCAAGCAGGGCAAAGGGGCCTTATCGCAACAGAGAATCAGGCCCTAACTGTATGTTCTGAGATCAGTGAATGGTACGGGCCTTCTCAGCCCATCAGTTAGGGGCCTTGAGCCAAGCTCACTTACACTGGCAGCAGCATGGGACCCTGCAGTTCAGCTGTCACCAGCCCTGCACAGATGCCTGAGTGGGGAGAGAGACGGGAGTTCAAACACTATGTGAATCTAGCCCTGCTGTGGTTCTAGACTCTATCAATACTGTGGGGAGGAGCTGGGTCCTGCCCTTGGTCCACCCAGCCCACACGCTATACACTGCCCCCTTTCAAAAGATGCTCCATCAGCCACACTCTCCCCCCGACAGAGTCCTACCAGATACAAATAACAGCCCTTATCGCAGATATGAGGCAGCTATTTAGCGCTGGGAGCCATCACTCCTCCCAAGAGGAATTCTCCTGCAACCCAGAGCTCTGCAGAAGCCCTACAGTTTGGGCTGGATTAAACTCTGAGAATCACACCAAGCTTTTGCATCTCAAAAGAAAAACTTCCCTTTTCACAGAGCCTGCTCTGCAAACAACATATCTCCCTCCCAGCACAAACACACAGCAATAGACTGCTCCCCTCTCTCACCCAGCCTGATAAACATTTCTCCTGGTCTCTCCCCCCCACCCATCTCCTTCTGGAGAGCCCCTTTAATTAGGGGGAATAGGAGCCACCTGTTCACCATCAGTGGCTCCCAATGCAGGAGATGCCTGCTCTTCTCCCACAGGGAAAGCAGGGCAGCTGTGTCTGGTTAACTCCTGCTGGTAGCTTCCTTCTCTCCTGCCTGCAGTCTCCCCTGTTACATCTCTCATCCTTTGCTGGGTCTCAGAATGGGGTTCCGTTAACTAGGACAAAAGTGCAGCTCTCTTCCTCTGGAGAGCACCTTAGCCCAGGGCCACCTTCACCAGTGAACTCCTCTCCAGGGCCTCAAAGTAGCTGTAAACCCATCGCTCCTGGCTGGTTAAATGAGGCTTCTTTGATCACTGGAGTGGCCCAAAGTAGTCAGAGCATATAGGTGACCCTGGCCCAGGGTCTCCACTGGGCTGTGGGACTTGCCTGGGAGGTGGTGAGGGCAGAGGGATGGGGTGAAAAAAGGGAGACCTCAGCTAAGCCATGTCCTAGTGGGGAGATCTAACAGACTGTGGACTGGGCTCCTAAGGGGAGCAATGGAGGCACCCTTGCAGGAGTCTTTCAGGGCCTGATCCTGTGAGGTGCCCTCAGCTCTTTGGGGAGACCCGAGGGGAATGGTGACGTTGGTTGGCCTGGACAAAGCCCTGCGCTAGCCCCTGCAGGATGGACTCTACAAAGGCCCATTCCACTTCTAATTTCTATGGCCCCCTGAACCCGCACCGGACTCACTGGGAGCTTTGCTTATGTGGGAACTGAGGAGAACCTCACTCTGAATGACACCAATGGGAATTTTGGGAGGGGAACAGAATTGGGCCTTAAGAGCTGCAGTATTTGGTCCAGTAACAACCCTCCCTTTCCTGTGCTTCCCCAGTTAATGCTGATTTCAGAGCACGTGTGGCTAAGCCCCCTCGTGCTCTCAGAATGCAGCCTGGCCCTCAATATGTCTGTTACATAAATACAGATTAGAAGACTGGACCTTTCCAAAAAATCTTACCTGTAAGCACACATGGCCCCTGCACAGGAGATGCACTGAAGACAGCAGCACTTTTACTACGAGCCCTGCAGAGCATTCTTTCGTGGCTAGCAGCCTTTTCCCCCTTGAAGAGTGCTTTGAAAAGTGACTCCACAGAAATTTTCTACTCCACAGATCCACTCCCTGTCCATATTCAGAGGGAGGTCCGCTCACTCTGATGACACACTAAGGTTCAGTTTCACATAGGTACATTGGTGGCTAACTCCCATATTTCAATAAGAGTTAGGATCCTAAATACCTCTGGGGATCTGGGCCTAAGACTCCAGTCCTGCAAACTCTCACTGCTACGCTCCTGTTAACTCTGGGACAGTGAGATGGTATCATCAACTATTCTGGCATCAGCAACAGAAATGCAAACTCAGTTCCCACGGCTATGCCAAATTCAGCTCTCAGAAATACCAGAGGGCGGAAAGGGTCAAGCTGGGTCAGAGCGGCAAAGTCTGTGACCACTAAACAAACTCCCCTCCAGAACCTGGAATGGAACCCAAGATTCCTGAGTCTCCACTATTCCTCTGCTGGCAGCAAACAGCTGTGAAACCAGGTGGCAAAGGGTGCGCCCCATCCCCCGTTAGTGCTTGCCCCCATAGTGGAGGACAACCTACTGCTGCCGTCGGTTAGTCCGTTAGCTCAAGTGGCAAAGGACTGTGCCGTGCACCTGATTGTAACCCTGCTGATTACCCATCTAGGGAGCCGTATGATTTCACATGATGCCATTTGCGGTTTCAAAAACCTAGGAAATTATACACACAACATCCTCCTGGGGGGATTCTGCGTGACTGCGCACCCACAGACCTCCGCAGAATTCCTGTGCTTCCCTGCCGAAAACGGCAGGGAAGCAAAGGGAAGCCACATGGGGGGGGGGCGACCATGGGTGCAGTTTGGGGGGCGATTGCCCCCCCAAACAGAGGTGAGGCATGGGGGGGGGGCACATGGGGTTACATGCCCCTCCCTCCCACCATTTCTGCGAGCGCAGAGCTGCCCAGCTGAAGGAGGCTGCCTCTAGGCGCTGCTGACTCTGCAGCTGAACACCACCTCCTGGGTCCTAGAGCCAGTCGTGCTTCCCTTCTGTGTGCTGGGAGCCTTCCCGTTTCCTGGGCAACAGTGAGTGCCAGCCGTGGGGCTGGGTAAGGAGGGAAGGGGGGCGACGGGGTGGTGGGGAAGGAAAGGGGGTGGAATGGGGCAGGAGGAGGGGAATGTGGGCGTGAAGGGAGGGGGGTGGGGCATGGGGCAGTGGGATGAGATGGGGAAGAAGGGGGATAGGGGAATCGAAGGGGGAAGTAGGAGCCCGGCATATGGCATCCTCTCGGCAGCAGCTGGGGCTCCCCCCTTAAGCAGGCCCATCAAACCTGCACCCTGACAAGCCCTAACCCCCTATACCTGGACCCTCCCGCCGAGCCCCCCACCCCACTGATCCCCAACCAGCTGCACCTGGACCCTCACCCCATCTAGCCACACTCTCCCAGCACCTGGACCCCCCATTGGGCCCCCCCCCACAGCCAGACCCCCCCCCACCGAGCTCCATCTCCCCAAACACCCCTCTGCTGAGTCCCAACCACCTTCACCTGGATCCCCAGCAGAGTCCCACTGCCCCTGCACCCAGAACCCCCCAACGAGCCCCTGTGCATCCAGATCTCCCACTGAGCCGCCTGTATCCAGACCCACACAAAAACCTCTCACCCCACACCTGGATCCCCCCCCACACTAAGCCCCTCCACACTTGGATCCTGCTGGGCTGAGCCGGCCCACCCACACCTGGTGCACCTGACGCAGAGGGACAGGGCCCCGGGGTGTTTCTGGGGCAGGCCCAGCCCTTGCACTGTGTCAGGATCAGGTGCAGCCTCACTGCCGAGTACTGGGGGAGGTGGGGGCTTCAGGGTGAACTCCCACCTCAATGCAGCCAGTGGCTTGTGCTCCCCACTGCCATGCTGGAGCCACAGTTATTTACTGACAAATAAAATTTGCTGAATTTTGCAGAATTTTAAAATATTGTTCGCATAATTTTTAATTTTCTGGCGCAGAATTCCCTCGGGAGTAACAACAACTCTATTAAAAGAATATTACAGTTGCCAAGTCAAAGACTCTAAAGTTAGGAAATGCCAGAATTTAGATTGCCTAGGCAAGCTTAATTCAAGCCCCTTGTGCATACGCATAATGATACAGGCTTTAATTACATGGTCACATACTATTTTTTCCACCGGACCCCTGCCTCGGTCAGTGCACAGGATGACAGTGCCCCCGGAGTGAGCAGTTATTCAATATTTTATTTTATCCGCATCGCTCCATATGGCTCATTTACTGAACGCCGTTCAAACCCTGCTCTGAAGATAGCATTAATAATGGGCTCTTCTAGAGTATGTGAATGCTTCACATGCATTACACAATTTATTTTCACAGGCTCTCAAGTCCGCCACCCATAAAATGAGGAACACACAGTTAGTGACCGCCTATGAAAAGTCTGGTGTGAGCGGCTTGCCCAGCATCACACAGGAACTCTGTAGCAGAGGCAGGGATAGAATCCAATTCTCCAGGGCAACGTTCAGCTGCATTAATCATGAGACTATTTTTTCTCTTCCTACAATATGCCTCATTCACTACACACCTTCCAACTTCTGCTACCAACGAGGCAGGGGTCCAACACCGGACAGTCTGCTTCACTACACAGCCCTGATCCATCCCCAGAGCAGTGTCCATCCTGGGCACTGAATGAGGAAGGATCCTGAGGGAAAAAATTAGTATGTGACCATGTTATTAAAGACTGTATCATAATGCACATGCACAAGGGGATCAAATTAAGGTTGCACAGACAATCCTATTTCGGGCATATCCTAACCTATGAGTGCTTGACTTTGCAACCATAACGTTATTTTAATGTTGTTTTTCGTGTGCAATTACCTAGGGGTTTAAAAAAGTGAACTAAAAAAACTGCAGCTCCATCATGTGAAATCTTACTTACCGCTCCGCAGGCAGTCAGCAGGGTTCGGATGTTTAGACCCACCCTGCAGACCTCGGCCACTTGAGCTAATAGAGTAACTGGTAGCAGTAGCAGGATGCCACCAATATTTGGACATTGCCCCAAGCTCCGCAGACAGAGAGCTGCAAAGTGGTGTCTTGGGGGGCAGCCTTACCTTGCGCACTGGATGAACTGAGTTGCTTTTTCTGCATACTCTGCAGCCAAGCCAGTGAGGTTCACAGGCTGTTGGATGATGGTGATGTTTTCAAAGAGAGGAAGAGCCACCTTGGTGTAACAATCTCTTCCATGGCTGCTGGAGAGAAACCAAGAGACCCCGTTAGTAACAAGGGAGGCTTTCTGAATGAAGGAAGCAGGCCTGCTTGTGCCCTGACGTCAGTGGGGTCCATTCACTATGTGGCCCAGTCTCAGTTATTTCCCTTGTACCAGAAATCAAGCCTCATCTCTCTCAGGTTTGACCGCACATGTGAGACAGACAGACCTGGAGGGGATCTGAATCCAGCCCCTCACTATCCCCTCCCATTGCGGGAGAGCGAACACATTTTTGTTACCACCGGGAGGCTCCAGCCTAGCTCAGGGCCCCTTGCTGGGTGGACACTCAGTAAGGGACAGTCCCTGGAGAGCTTATGGTCTCAACAGATGGGAACTGAGGCACAGACAGACTGAGAGACTTACCCAAGATCGGGGGGAGGGGGGGACAGTGTCTGTGGCAGAGCCAGGAACTGAGCCCAGATCTCCTGTGTCACAGACAAGTGTCTTAACCACTTCCCTCCCATGGACCCCGTTTGGTCTCTGACTTCAGCAGAAGCCGGCCAGGGCCCCTCGTCTTGCTCTCTGGTTACCTCCTCTGGCTGGTGCATGAAGGAGCATTGACAGGTTCCTCAGGGTTTCCTTGGCCTGGGGGAGCAGTGCTGTGATGCCAGGGGAGGAGAGTGAAGGGGATCCAGAGGGCCAGCCTGGCCCCCCAAACCTGCTGTGTTTTATACACACTGCAGGGTGAGAGGGGATGGTCCCCTCTGGGGCAGAGCAAGGGGAGAGGGGACCACAGCGAACATTCATTCCAAACCCTTCATCTTTACAACCCCTGCCAATTTCTCTGTTCCTGGGATCCACGAGAAAACGTTTTCCATTCAGCTCTGACATTTAGCACGAGGGAGATGCCTTTGATCACCCCCGCTCCCATCAAAGCCCAGACTCCATTGCACCCCACCGGAGAAGCTGTACCTTGTGGCTGCAGAGTGTCGAGGGCATGCCGGACAGGGAGGGAGGTTGTAGCCTGGGGTGTCAGTACAACCCATGTCGTGACTGTAGGGGATCCCGAAGTAATAGTCGAAACCTGGGATCCAAACGAGCGCGTTAGTGTGTCCACAGCTGCCTTTTATCCACTGTTTACGCAGTTGCTCCTGCTGAGTTTACAAACTCAAGGATGGGAACGGGGTCGGTTCTAGGCAAAACAGCGGCTTAGCCCCCTGTCCTGCAAGCAGAACCATGCAGGTGAATGCTCACGCCCATGGGGCTCCATGGGGGTCTGACTGAAGGTTCGGGGATCTAGCTCATGTTATAACAGGACGAGGATCCATTGAGACTTCATCGTTTGTACTTTCCTGTGGGTTTTTTCCCCAACATGGTCCTCTTTTTAAAGGGCTCTAATATTGAGTTAATGGAGGGCTGGACCGAGTAAATAGCACAATAAGAGGGACTCTATTCTAAAGATAAATTGACAGTAATGCTGGACTTTCCTCCAAGTGAAGACAGACATTTTGGGTCAACTCCACCCCAGAGATAACTCTACCAACCCCTGTGGGAGCAGCCCTGGGTGTGAACTTAAACACAGGGAGATCCAGAGCACAAATATCCCCTACTCCACCTCGGCTACCAAAAGGAATTCACACCTCATAGACTGCGCCCACACGCTGCAAGCCCATGGGAGCTGGGCAACAGGCATTCCCAGCCAATAACTAGAGCTACTCCTTCCACAGGGAATTCAAGTCACTGGCCACCCCACCAACCCCTCCTGCTGTTGTGGGAGTGGGCAGGGGTTGCAGAGTCTCCTCTGCAGCAGAACTCCTCTGGCAGCGGACAGAGCAGCGCATGGCCTCCTGCAGTATCCCTGCAGACTAATGACCTACAGGGGGACTGACCGAGGAGCCTGCTCCTCGCTTGCTCCTCCCTCTCTGAGGGCAATTACCAGGAAGGAGGAGAATGGGTTTAAAAAGAGAAAGGGACAGTGGGAAACAAAAACACTTGCTGGGTTTTACAACAAAATCTTACCACGAAAGTTGGGATGATAGAGGCCGCTGTGCCCGAGGTGCCATTTACCTGTATGGAAGCAATAGGAAGTCTTTTCAGAAGGAAAACTTTGCAGGTACTAGTAATTACATACAGTGTCCAGGGCCTGACGTTTTAATCCAGCAACAAGAGTCACTGTCTTTGCAGGTCCTGTTTAAAGCATGCCACTTTGCCAAGGGTTCCATTCCATAAAGGTGTTCGATCTCAGAGGAATTTCATAAAACAATTGTTACGTTTTCTCAAGTCTCGCTCATCCTTAAGCCCTTACCACGGTTCTGCCAGACATTCAGTTTTCAAAGACAAGACATTCTAAGAGGTTCTGAATGATCCATTCTTGGCTTCCTCCTCTGAACTGTCACATATGTGTTTTCAAAGATCAAGCACTATATTCTCAGGCTCTGCCACAATTTGGCCCAACATGATCACCAACAGTTTAATTATGAAGCTTTAGCTATTCTGGCCCACATCCTGCCATAATTTTGCATGCAAAACAACCTTTGAAGTCAAAGAATGATTTTGCATGTAAGTCAATGTAAAGAAATGGCAAGATCTGCATTTAACTAACTGAATTTCCTGGGTTTTGTGACTTTCTTTCATTGCATTTTAATGGCTCTGAATGAAAGTGTATGTTTTACTCATTATCCACAGATGACTGATCTGATACACTAGAATGACTCCCTTGGAAGTTGGGACAGCGCTCCATATGCTTGCAGTAGGGAGTTTGAAACTATGGACACAACACGTAACATAGCTTTTCATGCTAGCACAGGGTATTATATCAAGGAATATTTGGGTCTGTGGGCACAGAACCATTCTGCATGTTAATATTTTGATTAACAGTTACTATATGTGGGAAAAAAACACTCTTCTAAAGTTAAACAATTCACACATTGAAATGTTGGAGGGAGCCAAAAGTTTAGTTCACATCATGATGTAACCACCCACATTTAAAAAGGCCATTTTTTAAAAACATCATAGAACTGCAAAAAGAGAGGGAGAAAAAGTGAAAAGTCAGAAAAAAATTATCCTTTAAGTTCCTCTTTAATGAATGCATGGGTTTCAATGTAGGGAAAAGAATCCCAAGCGGAGGATGGGCGCCTGTATATATTTTCACAATATTGAAGAAATGGATAGATAGATAGATAGATAGATAGATAGATAGATAGATAGATAGATAGATGCAGAAAGTGCACTGGAGAATATATATTGGCCGAATAGTCCAGGGGCACCTTGAACCGTTCTGCCAACATGCCTCAACGCTAACCCAGAAGGGACCAATCCTAGAGGTGAATGAAGAGTCAGTCTTCATGGCCTATTTCAAGGTTTGTCTTAGCTGCTGTGACGGCCAGCAAGGGAGCTAGTCACTTAGTGCCAAATGAGATGATGTTTCTCATGACATAGACGTGATGCTCAAGCTCCCGTCGCTGAACAGCTTCCACCGTTATTTAATGCTTCTATTACAGTAGCACTCCAAAGCCCCAAGCAGGGTCAGGTGTGCAAGGTGCTGCACAGAACACAGAGACAGACACAGTCCCCACCCCCGAGAGTGTACAACCTAAGTGGTAATAATCACTTGCAGCCATTCCCTGCGTGGGTTGGATCTGAGCCAACGAATTAGCTCCATGGTCCATCCTGTGTCCCTTGAGCAGGGGTGTTGGAACAATCTTTATAGAGGGGGAAACTGAGAGCCATTGAACCAAACTGTATATAATGGAAACCACTTCAAGCCAGGGGCTGCCACCCCCAGCACTTCTGTTCCAGCACCTGTGCCCCAAGCCCCGTCTACCATTGTCTACAGGATAAACCGCAAACCAGAACAGTAGTGAGCTTTCTGCAATGCATTCATTACCTATTACCGCAGTGATGTATCCTGCTTCCTTCAGCACCTCAGCTAACGTAGTCTCATTGAGGGGGAGGCCACCCACTGACGTGACAGCAAAGTTGTGGGTCACTCCATTGCGAATGCCGAGCCTTCCTGTGAGCAGGGAGGCACGGGATGGGGAGCAAGTGGATGCAGCGGAGTGAAAATCCACAAATCTAGAAGAGAGAGAGGCGGAACGTACCTTAGGATTTGTGACTGGAACGTCTGACAAAAAGCTGCAAAAATGACCCCCGCTAGCTGGCAAAAATGGACATGCTCCCACCTGCTGGGCTTTGTCCGAGGAGCCCAGGGCTGCAAACAAACACACATGGGATTGCCATTCACTTGCCACAAGTGCAAATGACCATATTGTACATGTTAGCGGCCAGTGAGCTGCCCAGCTGCCTGAAGATAACTGAGTTCTTCAAACTACCCTGAAGCTATATGGGTTTCAAATTGCCACCCATTCCCTTAGCGTTTGAGCATCTTCTGCACAAAGGAAATTGGGAACAGTGAAGCCCTGAGTGGATGTCATGGTGTCTCTTGCTCTTCTCCCTCTTCGGGCACAGTAAACTCTGCTGGGAGTAGAGTGTGTTTGGTGGAAGGAGCTGGAACAGGGAGCGTTTGATGCTGGGAACATCACTGTGATTATATGGTGGAGACACTTTATCAAGTGGGAAGGTTCTACAGAGTTCCC